ACGGCAATTGCGAACTGTATCTTGTCCCATTGTGCAATTATAACTCGATTAAATTGATTATTGATCGTTATTGTTTCTCTCCTCCTACTCCTCTTTGTCCTTTTCTCCTCTGCTAGGAATGTGCCCTCACATAGGCCGCTTGGCCGCGACCTGCAAATGCCAAAGGGGCCCCCTGCAAGTACGGTGCCTTCCCTACGTGCAGGCGGGCCTGAATTTGAAAAGGGGCCCTCTACTTCTTCCATTTCTGCATTATTGGCCGCCAAACCATTACCTCGCACCAGTTGGTTATCTCCACCCTGTTCGCCCTGTTCGCCAACATCTGAAGCTTCCATGAACCTTCTAGGCTCGTCCAGGGCAGATGTGGAATGGAGGCTGACTCTAGGCCAATGAGAAAGGACAATGAGAAACGAGTAATGACGGGGCTGGAGGCCACCAGAAGGCCAATGAGAATGCAGCAGCCACATCGTGGAGTTGGGGCACAGCCTCAATGCTGCGGGCCCAGGCAACTGTCCGAATGACTCTGGCCGCGGACACTTCCGGCCCAACGTGAAGCCACTGGGCCCCTGCACGCGAGGCCCAGCCCAGCCAGAGGCAGGGCTCACTTTTCCATTGAGGAAAGTGAGTGCCCAGGGCAGTACACATTCTGGCCTTGCGCTGCTGGGCGGCCGCGCTGCTGCGTTGTGACCAGACAGGCTGCCTCGGCGCTGGCGAGCCAGAGGGCGCACGCAGGCGCGAGAGGTGAGAGGGGTGCGCGGCGGCCGGCTTGCGTGCGTGCCAGTGATGGTGGTCATGGGGTGTCGGGGATGCACACCGTTGGGAGACTAAGGGTGAGGCAGGGGAAAGAAGAGACATGTAACCTGGTTTATGCTGGCAGTCTGCATCGGCAACGTCGTCACATACATTGATCTTCAGTCCAAAGTGACTCCTGTTGCATGAACGTAGCGTAGGCTAGATAGGCTGAGTAGGATGGGCTGAGTGCGCCAATCTGAAAGAGCGACATTAATACTATACTAGATGACCTGTTGCGGCTTCGCTCGCAAAAACAGATACGATGGGTGATGCATTCATGGTTGTCGCGTGCCTTTAATCCCATCCCCAGCACGCCTTCTCTAACCCTCCCC